TAATTCGGATTTAAATCTTAATACCGGACTGTCTTTTCCAATAATCCCTTTGAATAATCCAACTCTCAATGATAATCTTTAAAATAAGATATAAATCCAAATATATAACCAAAATAAAAGTAGTGAACAAAAATGTGACTCTAGTCACTTTAATGAAAATAATTGTATTCAAATGCTATATTATAGTGACTATAAAAACTTACACATAAAAACTTATAGTCACATTTTTGTCCTTAGATTTTTTAGTAGTAATATTTTAGGAAAAACCTTTTAAAATAATCTACCACATCATTCAATTCATCGTCAAATAAACTAAGGGTATCCCCTACATTAATTTATTTGAAGATTATATGGATTATGTCAAATTGAAATTGCGTTAAAGATTACCATTTAATGCATACAATAGAAAATTTATTATTTGAGTACCATTGTTGATGAAGAGTTGTTTGCTTTGAAATAATTTAAAATTTATTGAAAACTATGATGTTGCACTGATGTGTAGGAGAAAAATAATCTAGTTAAAGAGTATGAATGTAGACGCTCTAATGAATGTGAATATCCTAAATAATACGTAGTCTTTGTATTAGAGGGTGTTTTGAATTTATTTTGCTTATACTTCTTTTTTAAAGACAAGGATAGAGTCAGAATCAATTTTTCAAAAGTCGATTTCCCCCAACTTCTAAAAACTTATTCTAGAAATAATTTGAAGCGCTTAAACGTGATTCAACACTTTCATCTAAACATTACAATATATGTTTCTGTTCCCCGAGAGAGTAGAAATAGTTTTAAGAAATAGATCCAATTATCCAAACACCTCTTAAAATAAGAAAATATGCAAGAGTTATGTGTGTTGGGTTAGTTATGTGTGTTGGGTTTTAGTTTTTTTCCATGGTCGAACCTTGAATATTTTACATGTTTTACAAAAAGTGAAAAACCTTGAATCGAACATGGTAATCAACCAGCACCCATGATCGTAATCAATATTGATTATATTTGGGCCCCATTCAGTAAAATCCTGAGATCAATTAAAGCGTTGTGATCAAAACATAAATACTTAGCTTAATCAATAAAATCACTAAATGTGTAAAGAGAGTGAACTAAAATGATCAAAGTTCAAATGGAGTAGATTGATTTAGAGGGATTCATTCATGCATAGTATAAAATTTTGTTCCTACTTCCTACCTTTATTCCATGCTAATACAAGCATATTTAAATTACAACATAGAAAGAGTAGAAAATATTTATAAATCAGTGTGAGTTTTAAAAAATCAATCCTTCTACTTATACATGGCGGCTTACACGCCAAGTGTACGTATTTTCATTTTAGTAAAGGGGGTATGTGACCTAAAAATATCTATGCACAGATAAAATACACTTGACATGTAAATCATTGTGTACAAGTACCATTTTTCTTTGAAAATGAAGGATAACGATCAAGTTTTAAAAATTTAACCTCTATTAAGTAAGAGAAAGTAAGATTGATTCATCAAAAGTAAAAAGTGAAATGATAAATAAAAGAATAAGTAGGAGGGAGCGGTCCAGCCTAGCTGGTCGCCGACTCACTCTCCCTTACGGAGTGAGATTGAGCCCAGTTTACCCCAGGCCTCCCAAATCCCCCTCCCCCCGATGCCCCCTGGGGTAAAAACAAAAGTAGATAAGTACGTAAAAATAGAAAACCGAGCTGTAGTTTATCAATGATTGTTCGCATTTCTTTCACATCCAAAACCCATCCGAGCATTGTCTTTCTGAACTCCTCTATCTCATTTGGTTTCAGTTTCTTCAATATTCTCTTCATGACTTCACTCAGACTAGAGTAGCATCTAATTTGCATGCTCTCAACATTGTCTAATTCATTTTCTTTGAAAGATCTCTGAATCACCTAATTTAGCAAAAAAAAACATTTCAAATAAAGTGTCAACTACTATTAAACAAACAATGTGGTAAAACATGACATCCTTATGTCATAACACCAATAGATCAAATAAAGTGTCATTACATTCAGAATAGAGTAACACTCAATGGCAGTAAGTACATACTCCCTCCATCCCACTAAGATCTCCATGCTTTCCTTTTTTAGCAGTCCCAAAATGAAGTTCTCATTTCCCTAAATGGAAAGTTATCCTACATCAAAACAGTGTCAAACGGTGCAAAACAGTGCCAAACAGTGTTGAAACAGTGTCAAAACAGTAAATTTTACCCCCTGGTAAATTTATTTCCTTAATATATGTGTAGGTCAAACTAGGAACATCTTAGCAGGACGGAGGTAGTATATATTTTCCAAAACTATGACGAAGAACAACTAATTCCTCTCGGTTTTAAACTTAATCAGAAGCTATTAAAACCTATTCGTTGGTTGAAACTAAATAGAGGATTGAAGTTGAATATAGATGCAGTGTTCATATCTGATTCAGCCTCACGAGGTGCGATTTTGAGGAATCAAGGAGGCGAGCTGATCTGTGCTATTGCATTTCCAATATCTGCTTCCTCGTCCTTGGAAGCAGAGTTGATAGCAGTGATGAGGGCAACCCGATGGACGATTGATGAAGGTTACCAGGATTTTCAGGTTGCTCAAGTTGTTCTTAATTATCTATCAGAAGGAATCAAGAATGCTTGGTTCGAAGACCTTGTCGAATTCAGACATTTGTGTTTTAGGAAAGGGGTTAGCTTCCGACATATCTTCAGGGAAGGAAATAGGCCATCCCACTACCTTGCTGCCAGTCCAATTCAAATTGAATATAATTTTGATCTGTTCAATATTCCTTTTATCAGATGGCTTGTTTAATTTATTGTTTTTCCTGAGAGGTTTCGGTTTGGTCCTCCTTTTTTGTATTGTTTTCTCATTTTAATAAAATCCGGTAAATGTTCCCCGACATTTACCCCGCTGATTTTGGTGGTTTACCCCCGGGTTAAAAAAAATCCAGAACTATGATCATTCAATTTGTTATTTACATAACTTATGCTTTACAATATTAGTATTTCTTTCAACATTTTGTCATTGTGTATTTTTTTTTTAAATCCACCTATCGCCAACTATTAAACAAAAAAATCTGGAAAAACATGACATCCTTATGCCATAACATCAAAAAAATCAAATAAAGTGTCATTACATTCACAATAGAGTAACACTCAATGGCAATAAGTACATATATTTTTTCCAAAACTATGGCCATTGAATTTGTCGTTTACATAACTTATGCTTCACAATATTAGTATTTCTTCCAACATTTTGTCATTATGTATTTTTTAAATTCATCTATCTCCAACTATTAACAAACAATCTGAAAAAAAAAATGACATCCTTATGTCATAACATCAACAATTCAAATAAAGTGTCATTACTTTCACAATACATTAACACTCCAGGGCAGTAAGTACATATATTTTTTTCCAAAACTATGATCATTCAATGTTTCCTTTACATAACTTGTGCTTCACAATATTAGTATTTCTTCCAACATTTTGTCTCTATGTATTTTTTAAATCCAACTATCTCCAATTATAAAAAATGTGGAAAATACATCAAAATATTAGTATTACTCTGTGTTCTACATATTTCCCAATTTGTACACTATTTTGGCATTTCCTTAATCGCTATTTACACAAGCATATACAAATCAAACAACAAATGTCAACTTAACTATATTCATTCTGTTTTAGTGTTTTTTCATTCTAAATAATGGCATTGTCTTCTCTACAATAGTCACACCAACAAATCCTACTTATTCTACATTTTTTCCAATTCGTCCATTATTTTGGCATTTCCTCAATTACTATTTACCCCAACATACACAATTAAATTTAGAGTTAAATTTATTTCAAAATATAATTGAACTTTCACTTGTTTATGACATAAATCACACATAAACTGCCGACTTAACTACCTTCACTCCATTTTAGTGTTTTTATACGAAATACTTTCATTGTCTTCTCATAAATACTCACGCCAACAAATCCTCCTTGTTCTACGTGTTTTTCAATTCTTCCACTATTTTGCCATTTTCGCAATTACTATTTACACCATCCCCATTATAAACAATTACTCTTTCTTCCAAAATGTAATATAACTTTTACTTGTTTATGCCGTAAATCAAACAATAATTGCGAATAATGCCACAAATCAAACAACTACTACATTCAAACAACAACTGCGAATAATGTCATAGTCTTCCGTAAAATACTCACATTAGTGATTTTACAGCCATGAGCGATTTCCGCTTACATTCAGTGACATGCATAGCTCAAAAAACTTACCATGTTTGGATTCATCCGATCGCTCAATCTTCTCGTGTTCTGCTTTGAAAATCATCTTCTTCCATCTTAACTCTACTTCTCCTTCCTTCTTCGTGGTTTTTTAGCCAGAAAAATGGAAACTCGAATCACTTCGAACACGTCCAGGCGGGGGTATTTTCGGAAGTTTTGTTTTTGGATTCGCTCGATTTGCGACGGAAAATACGATTCTATAATAAATGCGCTAACCGTTGCTATATTTTCGGCTCTTAACTCCCGATACGTTCCTTCGTGCTTCGAATCCATCACGCACGTCTAAAATTGGTAACTTACCTATTTTTAAGTCCTACGAAAGACAATTTTCTTTTTCGGTCCTATTTGTGCAACCGGACAGGTTTTTAGTCCTATATATGCATAATTAACTCCATTTTAGATTAGTCTATAAGATTAAATACATATTAGTTGTAAAATTTTATTATTAACTTTAATATGTATTTTCCAGCTTAAAGCTTTTAAGAGTGTGTTATGTAACTAATATTTTCGGTTTATCAATCTTATCAATCATTTTTGTTTACCAAACACATAATTTTTAACTTTGCACAATGTATTTATATATTAATCAACATTAGTGAGTTTTAAGATACTTTTGTGATATAATTAATTGAAGTTACTGTAAAACATCTAGCTATTTTTTTAAAAAAAAAAAATCTTTTATTTATCATTAAAAAAGTTTTAAATATACTATTTACATGAATCAGTAAATTAGCGAAGTCGGCCGATTTAACTAGAATTTCATGCTATAGATTCTAACTCATCAATTTGATCCGGTCCATTTAGAAAATCACATGCAAGATTTGGAATAACCTAACTCTACCATCTCTGTTTGGATCCACGGCTCTCTCCGGTTATCATCTGCGCTTCCTCTTAGGTCCGGAGGTTAGTGGATGATTACTAACCGTCCTCTTGTTTTATGGTATCTTGTTTCGTTTTTCCTTACATATCTTTTTACATCTTATCAGCAGTGAATAGATCAAGCTTAGATGGGTGGTGCTGAGGTTCGCTCTTTCATTTAAACGATGGATAATTTTCTAAATCAAAGAATTGTAATAAAGCTGTAATTTTATGACCAACCAATATGCTGGCAGTGTTGCCTTCGTACATAAGAGCCAAAATTCTGCAGATTAAGTGCTCCAAATTGCTCCTAGGAGCCGTTTTGTTAGAAGTTGGAGGACACCCACTTTGCAAATTTGATCTGCGACTTCTTCTAAAAAAGAAGTCAAAGCAGCATCAATTCCAAAGATACTTCAGCTTTGGCGCTTTCCTTAGGAAAGCTATGATCTTGGAGATTTTGTGCCCTAGTGTTTAAAATAGTACTTTGTATTGAATATGTTTGAGATAATTATTAATGAAGTTATATGTTCTTTTAACTTGGTTTGGTTAGTAGGTTCCAGACCATTCAAAGGCAATTGTTATGCATGATCCATCAATGTTCAACCACACAGGTCCGAACAATGTACCTCCATTTGCTAACCCGGGAGTACAGAATGGTATTGCAGATTCAGCTGCCTACAAAGCGAAGGTTCTATTTCTTTACTCTGCATGAATGAAGGCATGATAAATGATTAACACATTGGGTCAAGAGTTACACACACACATTCTGTTGTTGGAGTTCTTGTTTATCTTATTATATAAGTGAATATCATACAGTTATAATACTGTATTTGCTACCAAATACTGCAGAAATGTCAGGATGCATTACAGGAGGCGGGTCTGAGAGTCAAGCAACATGAAGATAATATGAAGTTTTTAAAGACTAAGAAGAACAAATTGGATGATTCGATTATAGATTTACAAGGTACTTCTTTTTATTAAATAAATAAAAAAATCTCTTCTAATGAAAAGAAAGGTACTAGAAAGACACAATATTGTAAAAGATATTCAGTTACTCAGAAAAAATGTCCAGTTCTATGTATTTAAGTCTGAATGTTGCATAAATTGTCATGAATAGTTTTGAAGATGTGTGATACCATTGTGCTGGATGCAATTCACTGTCTAATAGTTTTGAAGATGTGTTGTATTCAGTCTATTTTCATAACCACTACTGACCTTTAGCCTCTGTTTGACCATAAAAGGACGAGAGAAAGGGAGGGGAGGAAAAAAAGAAATGCAACACATCATGTGTTTGGCGTTCTAGAGAAATAGCAATGAATGATGAAACCAACCTGAGACCTACAGTCATTTTCTTTCTTTTCTCAAGTGAGAAGAAACATGAAAAAGCTGCTCATTTTTATTAATGACCAAATTACCTTTTATCCTTGTTTGTAATCTTTATAAAACCGAAAGGATGTATTTTTAATATTTTAAAACAAAAACTACTTTCAATACAAAAGGTGCATTTTTTCTTCTTCTCACACTGTTTCATCTCACATTTTTAATACAAAGTGTAATCTTAGTGACTTAGTTCATTGTACTTTTTCCATTTTCTGTTTTATATATATATATATATATATCTGGTCCCAGTTGCACTTGGAAAATATCATTCAGCAACCAGCCCTGCAATTGAGAATGATGGTCTCTCCTATGTACGGAGTGAGGAGGAAACACTTGAGCAGATTTTAAAGCATGAGGAATCTGCAGCTGCGGTTTTGTGCCAATTGAAAACCCTTCATGGTACCCAGGCTTCTAATTCTCCATTATCAAAAGATGTGCTTGGTGTTGTTGCCACACTTGCAAGAGTTGAAGATGATAAACTCAGCAGGTTAGTTATTTTTACCTTGTGATTTGTATTTGCTCCCTTTTATTGATTGTTAGTTTTTATCAATTGGTTACCATCTAATGCTGGACTTACATTATTCGTCAATACTTAAATTGTGTTTAAAGTCATCTCAACTATAATTTTCTCTAGATCTCTGATCAACAATTCAACAAAGATGGAGTTTCATGTGAAATGAATACAAGTTTTTGGTTGACCATGTCACAGTGACACTTGTGAGCTACTGGACAAGTTGTTTTAGTACTCAACTATTCATTTAAATTGATGAAACTTTTAGCTTCCATATTCTAAAAGCAGGTCAGTTGACAAATTAGACATAGGCATAATTACTGAGTACAGTGCCTGACATTTCTCTTGGGCTTATCTGAAATTAAGGGTTCTCTCAGATTACTTGGGACTAGAAACCATGTTAGCTGTGGTATGCAAGACCTATGATGGTGTTAGAGTGCTGGAAACATATGACCAGGAGGGCCTTGTAGATAAAAGCTCTGGACTTCATGCACTTGGAATGTCCATCGGGCGGCCCTTGGATGGCAGATTTCTTGTCATCTGCCTTGAAAATTTAAGGTTAGGCTGGTTATGATGTTGTTATTAGCAACTTTAATGAATTGTTTTTTTTTTGCTCCCACCATCTAAAAAGTATCACGTTTAAATAAGGTACAACTCTTTTATTTACTTTTAATGTCTCTACAAGTTATGAATGATTAAGGACCTGTTTGGTAATGGCTGCAATGGCGAAAGTGCTGAAAGTGCTTAAATGGTTGAAATTTCTCAAGTGAAAGTGCTTGGTAGTATTTTGGCTTAATTGGCTGATTGAATGTATAATTACCAAAAAAGGTATTGATTTTTTTGTATTTTAATCATATCTATGTTAGCAGCGGCTGGTTTTTACATTTTAGTATTTTGGTAGTATTTTATATCTATTTTAATATATGTATTTTCAAAAAAATCTTAGAAGACATTTGTGTAATTTATAATTGCACGGCAGCCATTAATTTTACTAGTATATGTATTTAAAAAAAACTTAGAAAATACATTTGTTTAATTTGTAATTGCACAGCAGCCACTAGTTTTACATTACCGACTTACTAACCATGTTGCTTTTAAATAATTTGAAGACTTAGGGGGAGTACTTATAATTTAAATCCTCATTGACGTTATGGTTTGCTTTTTAGTCCATTTGCTGGTGATTTTATAGCTGATGACCCACAAAGAAGGCTTGATCTTCTCATACCCAAATTACCAAATGGGGAATCTCCACCTGGCTTTCTTGGATTCGCTGTAAATATGATCAATGTGGATAGCATTAATCTGTTTTGTGTAACAAGCAATGGTCATGGCCTAAGAGAGACCTTGTTCTACAATCTCTTTTCACGCTTACAAGTGTACAAAACGAGGATCGAGATGCTTCGAGCTCTCCCATGTATAAGCAACGGGGCGATCTCTTTGGATGGTGGAATTATAAAAGGTGCTGGCATATTTTCACTGGGAAGCAGGTAAAAAAATAACTGTCAGAAACAAATTTGTTATTTTATCATATTTTCTGTCTCATTGACATGTTTTGCTATTATTTTTCTATGTGTGTTATTTGTGAATGAAGGGATGTAGATGTGAAATTTCCCAAGAACTTTGGAAGGACATGTCCGCCTCAAAACTTTTTCCAAGTTGAGAATAAAATGAAGGAAATTAAATGGGAAAGAGAAAGAATTTTAGAAGACATGCAGAGAGAACAAGCATTGCTAGACCATGCAAGGTTCAACTTTGAAGTAAAAAAACAAGAGTTCATCAAACACATTGCTCAGAGCTCATCATATGCCACTCAAGTACCGTCTATATCTTTCTGTTATTTGCAATATTCTCGTCCATTAGGATAATCTGTGCATCTCAATAGTCATAAATAACTGTGAATAAGATACTAGAACTAGGGTAAATGGCACTTTTAGCATACCTATTATTGTATTATACAGAAGTAGTGGATTTCCTGCCTCTAATATTTAGTATCACTGCTTATAGTCATTGAGGTTTTACTGAAGTGGTTGTTAGTAGCCCTCTCATTAGTAAAGAAAAAGTGTGAATAATATGAATTCTATCATCCTCTATTTTTAAAATTAAGAGAATTGTACTCCGTATAAGAATGTAATCAAATGCTTATATGATTTACATTTCAAAATTTATTATCATGTCTATATAAAATCAGACACACAAAACGTATAATGTATGGAATTTGGATTTAGGGGTTTAAACAATTTATATTGTAAAATAATTCCTCTTTTTGTGCAAAAAGTATTTTAATATGTGGCTGTGATGTTATGCAATTATTTTGTAAAATGAGATGTTTAAATCAAGTTATTATATTAACTAAAATCTTCCAGTGATGGACTAAACCGCCACTTTCATAATAATTGATGGACTTGAAGAGACTAGTAATTGAGGGACTAAATCTACTATTTCCCTATTATTGGAGGACTAGAATAACTACTTTCCTCAAAATGAAACCATCATCACTTTACTGTAGCCCAATTCTTGAATAGTTTTCTTAATTGACAAATCAGTACTAATCTTATGGGAAATTATCTATTGTATTTATTTCCATCTTCCTGAATCCTACCACCAATGGTTTTGATTGATATCCAGATGCAGCAACACCAGATTTAGCATTGAAGTTTTGAAGGAGTGGGTAATGTCAGGAGTAAGATTTTCTGGTGTATATGAAGATGGAAGCTCAACATATTTATCTCTGCAACTATAGGCTCCACCTTCGGTCTCTGCGTCATCTTATTTATGTACATGTACATGCTGGTCTACGTCCCAGCTTAGTCCGTAGTGTACCAGCCATCTGTGCTAATTTATTCTTTATTTCGTACATGAATGAATCATCATATGTCCTTGGTCAAGGCACTGCTGTTGTACTAGGAAGATAAAAAAAAAAAAAAAAAAATAACTGTTTTAGGAATTATTTGACTGCTTTCTTTTAATTTAATACTAACCCTACTCGGTGCTTTAAATCAGTTGTACACTACTTTAGAGACGCTTGTTTGACAAAGATGTACACTACATCTTTGCCTAGTTTTTTTTATCCTATGAACTATTGAGGTGTTGCCTTCTTCGTATCAGCTTTTCATGTAAAAAGCGAGTGTTCAATATATTAGACAAGGTTTGCGTTCTTTGTTATGTGCGCAGCCTGATTGACAAGTTCCTCATTTTATGATTCATCGTAGACACGTAGCCTCTTGAATATGATAGTCCCTGGCAAGTGGCAAAACAATGGTCTAGCGGTAAGGGTGTAGACTGTAGGGTTGAGGATAATCCGAACCAGACTGGAAAATTAGACCAAACCGGAGTACCGGACTGGTTGATCAAGAGACTCAAGACCGGACACGGACAGGTTACACTGGTACGGTCTTCAATTCAAAGATTTTTGTGGTTCCATTTTTAGCCCGGTCCAAAACTTGGAATATTTTGGTCTGGACTAGTTAGATTGAAATTTAAATATTATATATATAAATACAAATGTGATAATAATGAGTAGCGTTTATATCAGGCCGGGAAGTCCTACTAACTTCATTTTAGGTTGAAAATGAAGTTTAAGATTAAACTTTTTTTGTTGGGAAAACTGTCAAATACGTCCTCGAACTTTCATAAAAAGTCAATTAAGTCTTTCTATAGGAGACTCTGTCCGGTCGTCGCGATTTGGGCGATTCCTGGTGGAATTTTTTGATGAAATTTTTTGAGCATCTTATTCATCAAGTCTAATTTACTCATATCAAATTTCAGCTAAAAATTTAATCGGGAGAGCATTCAAATTAATTCGAGAACGCAAAAATGCGCAGTTATCTTCAAGAATTAATTTGAATGTGTTCCCGATTGAATTTTTAGCTGAAATTTGGTATGAGTAAACTAGATTTGGTGAATAACATGCTCAAAACATTTCATCAAAAAATTCCACCGGGAACTGCCCCAAATCGCAACGGCCGGACAGAACCTCCTATAGAAGGACTTGATTGACCTTTTTTTTATGATAGTTCGAGGATGTATTTGACAGGTTTCCCTTTTTTGTTTTATCAACTACTCCCTCTGTCCTACTATGATTGTCACATTTTACCTTTTCGGTCCGTCCCACTAAGATTGTCTCATACCTTATTTGGTAAAGTTTGTGTGGTTCTAAATCATTTCTACTTTATTCTTACTTTATCAATTCAATATCAACCACATAAACTCACTTTTATTAATAACTGTGTCACCTTCTCTTGTCCCAAACTTAGAGGGACGGAGGTAGTATTAGTTTTAACAATTATACTTATGTAATGCTTAATATTAGTTAATCCTAAAAGTATACTCTGTATTTAGGGGGTGTTTGGAATTGATTATGATTCTGCTTCTTTTTTAAAGCAAAAGCAGAATCAGAATAAGTTTTCAGAAACTGCCCCCCCCCCCCCCCCCCAAAATCTAAAAAAATTGATTCTAGGAGTAAATTAGAGCACCATAATCACTTATGCACTTTCACCCAAACACTTCGACTTCTGCTCCCTGAAGGAGCAGAAGCAGTTTTAAGAATCGGATCCAAACACCCCCTTAAGCTCGGAAAATTTATTTTTTTCGATTATTCAGAGGTTGAAATTAATAGTTAATACTAATGAATGAAAAATTTTGAATCATAAACTTCATTTTTGGCAAAACAATTGTTCAACCTGTACAGCTTATTATTATAGTAGTTAATTTATGTTGCATTTTAAACTCATTTTTTTACAAGCAATGCATGATTATCTACAAGGTTTGGATACATAATCACAACTTGAATGGATGTGTGCCCTAATACTATTTGTGCAACTACATGTGAAAATAACCATAAAGATATGAAAGTTTACATACACCGAGACATCACAGAATTTCGGCATATATTTTCTTGTGGCTCCTTATTATGAAAAGTATGCTTTTCTGTCTATTTATATTCAGTTGAATTATTATACGTAGTATTTATAATACAAATGCCATGCAAATATGATTTCTAGCTATAACATATTAGTATCACAAATTACTCGTTTAGTTATCGTTGGGTGTTGCTTGTTATTTGGATGTCACGCGGCACGATCTCGATACATTATTCGCTTCAAACTAGCTCGATATGATGCTTATGAAACATGTCATAGTTCAACAAGTAAATTATAAAATAATTGTTTACAAACATGATAGTTGTTTGATAGCCTATATAAGACCGGGGGTATGCAGGAATCCGAGCGTGAGTCGGAAAAAATATGTGAAGTATAAACTGGGTAGCAAAACCGGCAGAGTAACAATATGCAAAATAGAGAGTTTCATGTCCCTCTTCACAAGTTGGAATGTGATATTTATACTAAATTATGGAAATACTTGGAGAATGAGTAAAATAACTCATCTACTAAATGAATGCCACATGTAAGGCTTGATTGTTGAGAGAATCCTTAATTGACTGATTGATTGGTACTCGTTCTGTGGATTATTATTCCTTTGCTAACAGAATGGTTGAATAAGCCACTAGTGTAAGTCTGACAGCTGACGTATGTAACAGAATGAGTGATGAAGCCCTAAAAGTGGTTTTTCCTTTGGTGACAATTGCTTCTAGTTGTGGAATGTGAGCGTTGAAATGACTAAGTCCACAGTGTTTGTCTGAGGTCTTGAGCTCTTGATCTCGGCTTGGCCCGCTTGTAAAGATGTTTGTGGATACCAAGCTCAGAAGTTGTAGGGCACAACCCATAAGATACAACTGAACCTAAGTAATGCATCAACTCATAGATGACGAGGCCAGGCTCGGGTGTATCGAGCTCAGCCTATGTAGTGATAGGGGTTGCCTTGTTGATCTTGGGTATCTGACACCGGATTTGACCTTGTGCTAGGCCCTTGTGCCGGAATTGACTCTGACCTTGGTCGAGGAACGGGCTCGGCTGTAGTTTTGGACTTATCTTGATGATCTGGAAATGGGTTTTGGGCTTGGTCTCGATGGGTTAAGCCTCGGGTTGATTTGCCTTAGACGATTATCAAGGCTCCTCTATGTAAGGTTAATACCCTTGTGTTGTATAGCAATATACTTCATCATTGTTATTGCATTCTTATAATTTCGAAAGTCCTTTTTTATTTAGCCATCTTTAATACATTATTTGAACTAATATAACCTTAATAAATTTATGATAGTATTGTTTGCAAAAAAATATTTTCATATCAGTTTCATATTATTAATACTCATCATCATCATCATCGCTCCAGTGCCGCAAAGGCTCCCACCTAATAATAGGGGATTAGATGTAAGCAATATTATTCTTGTACTAAAGCACAGAGAGACCGTTTTCGAATGACCCATAGTGAAAATCACGTCGAAAATTGCATGGACTGACTACTGCTTCATAACAATTAAGCGCAGACAGTTTAGTGAGTCATTTTGCTTTATTCCATCATATTCGTAAACCAAAAATAATGAATCTTTGGTTCCATTGCAAATAACGAAAAATTCATATTATCAATACTATAATATGAAAATCAAAACCTAAGGCAGATGAAATGATGGCTTCATTCCAAATAATTAATTTGTTGCTAGTTTTAGATGTTTTTTTAAGAATATTACTCAAATAAGATTTGGGGATATAAATATGAATGAAGTTTTTTTTTTATCATAATATGAATGAAGTTATTATGTGCATAACTTCATATTCATTATACCATAAAACTAGTGTAACACCCGGGGCATGCCCCGGTAGTGTTAATTTGATATGACTGAGGTGACAAATGCTAATAAACATTGTGAGCTATTAATAGGATATCATCAAAATTTTGTCAATAATCCAATTCTTTTATTAACTAACCACCATAAATATAATTATAATTACAATTATAAGTATAATTATAATATATCATTTTATTATCATTATAATTATCTTTATTTTTGTAATTACGATCATCATAATAATAAGCTTTATCAATATTATTATAATATGTAGTATTGCTATTATAATATGATTATAGATACCAACAACCTACACTTTATAATAATAGTCACTTATAAATACTGTTAACAATAAAAATACATTAAGAATATAATTAAATAATATTAATATCATTGACAATAACCTTAGTAATAATATATGATGCTTTATGAATAACAATATCATACAAATAATGATTATAATAATAAGAATAGTATTCATAATTAATTTCAATGGAAGCAACCTACAATAATAACCTACAAAAATATTTAGATCAGATCGGAATCATCATAATAGTAAAAACAATTTATGTCTTAACATTTCTGATTTGAATAGAGTGTTTCTGGTGTGATTTAAACTTTTCTGATTTAAATGTTTTTGTCTAATCTGATTGACTTTTTATCTGATCTGGTCTGAATAAAATAAGAATAAGTAATACGCAGTACGTAAACAATAAGAATAAGAATAGGAGTACCAGAATAACTTCTAAGGATATGTTTTTACGTTTTTCTCCTACTTTTTCTCAAGACTTTTCCATTAGGCATTCTATCTCCGTTACGAACTAATCAAATCTTTTAACATAATGTCAAGTGTTAGTTATTTAACATTTTTTCTCCGACTTCTTTTCACCCTTTTTCATTATAGTTGTTCCATCTCCTTTTAGTTTGGAACTAATTAAATGTGTTCATAATAATATGAAAATAGAAATTTTGTTAGCCAATAACAAAGTGACATGTCAGCAGTTTGGGGATCATGTTTTACTAAATAAAAGAATAAATTTAAATATTTAATGAAAATTGGATCCTTATATGTGTCACGACTATTGTGCAAATGTGCACTTACCATAATGCACACCCAAACTCAAATTTTACTATAGATTTGATATATAATAGATTTATAGCTCAATTTTTACAATAGTTTTTTTTATATGTGGAATTTGGTGTCATATGAAAGATAATAATTTTTTATATTTTTTTTTGTAAAACTTGGAGTGATGCACAGAATGAGTTGGCTGGATTAAAATGAATAGTAGTGATGCACCGAGTGAATAACAATAATGCATTGAGTGAATAACAGTGATGCACCACGTGAACACAGATTAATTAAATGATTTAGCAAGAGTGGTAATGGAATATTTCGTAACAAATAAAAGACTCACACATCATTAATTTATAATTTAGCTTTATTATATAAAAATAATAATTATTTATTTTTA